TAGGAGAGAGAGAGAGAGAGAGGGGTTTAGAAAGGAATAGGAAAAAAGATGTTTTTGAAAATTTGGCTTGGGCTAAAAAGATGAAATAAAGTTGGTCCAAGGGGTTTGGAGGTATAATATATGAGATCTTTATGCTATCAGTTTTGTTTTGAAACCTTGGGTCTACAGAGAAATGAAAACTAAAGAGAGGACGTACTAAGATAGTTTCCCTTAATTAAAACTACAATTGTATCCTCTTTATATTATTGAATTTTCTATATCAAATTTTTATACACTATTATAAAATATCACATAACTAGTTTAGTCAATTTGCTAAATAAATTTCTAGAAGAATGAAGAGGTTAGTACCATCACGTTTTTTATTTAGTATATTACTTCTCATTGCATTTTTGGCAAATCACATTACGTGGAATATTTTAGTAAGACTCGCAAAGCAGGTGCATCATCATCATCATCTGAGCTTTTACCCGAACTATTTGGAGTCTACTAAACAAATCATATTCCACCATTATGCTCCATTAATGATGCCCTCAACTAACCATGAGTCACAATATCTCTTCTCAATGCTTCCATCAATGTCTTTTTGAGCCTTCTTTTTGCCTTTTGGAACCTTTTCACTTTAACCAAATTACCCCTCTTAACCAGTAGTGTATTACGTCTATGCTGCTTATGGTTAGCCTACCTAAGTCTACTTTATCTCATCTTATCGCACCTCTAGGTTTTGTCGTATGTATTTATTTCAAATTCTATCAGTTCTTGTCTTGCTACTCATCCGTCTCGATATCCTTATCTCGTCTACACTCATCCTATGGCTATGTAGTTTCTTGACCACCTAACATTGTTCCATAAAATATGGCTAGTCTTATAGCAATCCTATAAAACTTCCCCTTCAGTTTCATTGGTATTGCGGCGATCACATAAAACTCTTGATAAACATCACCACTTCGCCCACTCAACTCTAATCCTTTGTTGCATCTTACTAGAAAATGTATAAACAGAAACTATTATGAGAATCATGTGAACTTTGATAATGTATACTCTTTACCTAAAGCAAGTGATAAATGGATGGAATGTTATGGCGAGAGAGTGGGTCCATCATTACCTGACACCACCTAAGGGGTAGGTCCCACTCTCCTCATGCCTGTGTATCCATTAACAAATTGCTTTTCCAGAATAACACCCTCGCTAGTAAGAACTCACCCAATCAGCTAGTGTTACGACAAGGCGTTATTTCTGAGCAACTGTTATTTCTTTCTGAGTTGGTAACGATAATTTTTCCATTGGTTTATTTAATAACGGTTGGGCCACACCATTGAAGCCATTCCCTATCGCTTCCCAAATGTAGGAAACTGAGACTCTAAGAAAGAATTTATCAACATAGCGTTATTCTACGCAGGGGTTATTATCCTCCAACTAACCACATTCTCTCTCTCTCTCTCTAACTCTCTCTCTCTCATCACTTATATATTCTCTTCTCTCTCAGCCATGAGTTACATTACATTCATATCTCTCTAGGCCATCACTCACATTGCATATCATTTTGTGCAACACACATTCAAACTATATCTTAGGACCATGTCGTCGAGTCTGGGTTCACCACTACTCGAGCCCCTGCCCTTGTTGGGTTCGATGCTTTGTACATCGTCTGAAAATTTTCTGGTGAGTGAGGGGCCGGAAAAGTTGTCGGAAGAGGAGGAGGTGACGGTGGCCTTGCAAATTGGGTTGCCGGGGTGGGGCGGTAGAGAGCAGACGGTGGAGAGAGAGAGGGAGTGTGGGTATTGGATACCAACTCCGACGCAGATAATGGTTGGCATCACGCAGTTCTCCTGTGCAGTTTGTGGGAAGTCGTTCAATCGTTATAATAACATGCAGGTTTGGTTTTGTTATTAGGGTTATGTTTACTTTTGTTGACCTGATCTCTCTCTCACTCTCTTCCTTCGATTCCTACAGCAACCACCTATGCACTACCGGTGTACGTAAAATGATGCACATATTCATTAATCTCCCTTGTTCTCAGGGCATAGTCGTCCTGTAGTAGATGGTGCTCCACTATTATTAGGTGGTATCTTGTCCAAAATCAGGATTTCAAATTCAAGAACTCAGGTAAAACTCGCCTCGCCCCCCTCAGGCAAGGCCGAGTAACGTGGATTTCGATGATTCTGGGCACACTGGTTTAATCCATAGGAGGATTCAGTGAGTTAATTGTCAATTTCTTTCTAGCCAATTAGTTCTAAATGAAGAACCTCCTGTCTTCAAGATCGTCTTCACGGTAAAACCTGTAACAATGTTCTTAGTATACTTTTTCTCATTATTTTACAGTGTTCCATTTTCCCATTCTTTTCGTAGTTTTTCTCTACCAGTAACGACACGAACCAGGACGGATAGAAAGGTACGGTAAAAATTCAAGTATGTAATATATGTGAAAATTTTTTGTGTTCATTTTTTTCTTTTCCTTCTAGCAATACATTTTAAGGACTACCATGTAAATTTTTTAATCAAGTACAAAACACAGCGTTATGTCATTACTCAATTCACTTGTAAATTTCTTAGCAATGTGACCAGTTCTATGAATTCGAGCATTACCATTGTTTCAGATTAATAGGTTTCCTCAAACTTTCTGTTAAGCTTAAATTCCTCAAAGGGCAACATATGCCATTTTGGCCATTCCTCACTGTACATTTTGATTGTGGTTTCTGCAGATGCACATGTGGGGGCATGGATCACAATATCGGAAGGGCCCCGAGTCACTTAGAGGTAGCAAACCTCGCCCGAAGTTGGGGCTTCCATGCTATTGTTGTGCACAAGGATGTCGAAACAACATAGAGCACCCAAGGGCCAAGCCTCTCAAGGACTTTCGAACTCTTCAGACCCATTACAAGCGAAAGCACGGGCTCAAACGCTTTATGTGCCGAAAGTGTGGAAAGTTCTTGGCAGTTAGAGGAGATTGGAGGACCCATGAGAAGAACTGTGGAAAGCTATGGTTCTGCACTTGTGGTTCTGACTTTAAGCACAAGAGGTCACTTAAGGACCATGTTAGGGCTTTTGGTTTGGGGCATGAGCCTGGTGGGGCTTCGTTCCTAGTCTTTTGATTTCGAAGATTTGTTAGTGATTGCAGAGAAGAGAGATCATAAAGGCGTTACTTTTTGAGGGATGTTGAGTGCTGAGCATTCTTTGCTTTGACAGGTGTGAAGAGTACTTGGTCCTCTTTTCAAATACTTATTAGGTATTTAAAATAGAAGTATGGGATTTGTGCTTCTCTTTTAATTCCTGGAAAATTTCAGACCTGGGAACATAAAAAATGGATGTCGATCTAAATACACTATTTTATGGATCAGTAGTCTCTGGGAAAGCATTGGCATTGTGAATTATTAATTGGTCTAATCGAGAGAGGTAAAGACTTTGAGAGAGACAGAGAGGAACTTTTGAAAGAAAAATGGTGCCCCACGCTAGACAGTGGTTATATATATATATATATATATATATATATATATATATATA